TTGTTCTACCAACCCATTTTATATGGGCATTTTATTACTTCCTAATTTATCCTTTTGTGATTTGTTTTTTCAAAAATAAGCAGACTTGGGACCAGCAGTTAGCGTAATGGCTATGTCGCTGGACTCCCACGTAGTCGACCGCGGTTCGAGTCCCGGACCCGGTGGCTTAAACTCACACTGGGCGCATGTGTGTGTGTGCCCAAGATCCTGAGAGGAGAATGGAGAAGGGATTGTAGCATGGCCATCCCCCCTGGAGGGTGATTTCTCGCTTTCTATCTCTCTATCTCTCTCTCTCTGTCTGGCAAGCACACGCGCCCTATAGCAAAAACCTCTCCAAAAAAAAAAATAAATAAATAAGCAGACTTCTATTTTTTAATTCCCCCTTCTTTCATGTACAAAGGTAACATAAAATATACACTCATTTTACTAGACATCATTTTGTATCAACTCACAAAGATCTTCATTCTTATAGCTGCGTGGCACTCCATTCTATGTATGTACTGTAGTTTACTCAAGGCCTCTTGTTTTAGAGCAGTTAGGCCATTTGTTTTTTAATTGCCAGAGAGAGAGAGAAAGAGAAAATACCTCTTAATGGGGTGTGGTCACACCACAACTCTTTTCCCTCTATTTCTCCATCCCCTCAGGATTTTAGACACACACTCACACACTCAGAGTATCTTGGAGTTGCTGGGGCTGGAATTCACATTGCATTTGGCCATTTGTGATCCAATTCCCAAAGCACAGCACTTAAGCATTGTGCTAAGGAGCCAACCTCTTTAGGCTCTTTTATTACTATAAATAGTACTACACTTTATAACTCTGGGGTATAAGTTTTCACTTTGAAACTACTTAAGCGTGTCTCAGGGTGAATTCATAGCTGTGAGGGCTCTGGGAATAAAGGATAAATGCAGGGCCAGGCGGTGGTATGGTGATTGGGGCAGCTGGATCCCACATGGCCAACCCCATAGTTTGAGCTCAGGAAAATGCTCCAGGCACATGTGTGTGCATGCTCAGGATCCTGAAGGGAGCGAGAGATGGGGAGAGGAGATTGCAGTGTGTCCATCCCCTTTCGGGGTACCTTTCTCGCTTTCTCTCACCCTCTCTCTCACCAGCACGTTCTCTCTCTGGTAAATGCAAAAAGGAGAGGATAATAAATGAATGTATTAATTTTCTACTGCTGCTTAACAAATTAAACAAAAAATCAGTGACTTAAAAGAACACCCATTATGACCCAACTGGTGGCCTGCTGGTTAAGGTGACTGGATCCCACATGACTGACTCCTCAGTTTGAGTTCCAGACCAGTAACTTGAAAAACACACTGGGCACGAGTACATACATGCCTAAAGTCCCGAAAGGAAACAGAGAGGAGAAGGGATTGTGGTGTGACTGTCCCCATGGATCAAGGTTGTTTTCTCACTTCCCCCCTCTCTCTTTACTTCTCTCAG